TGGCGTTATCCGTTTTCTTGCAAAATTAGTTTTTGCCGAGTTATGGCCGTTCAAAGTTAGACCGCTAGAGTCTGAAGTTATAGGGCAAATAAACAACTTCTCTCTTATTTTTCATCCTCAAAGAACCAAGCCACGCCTCTTCTCTTTATTTATAGTGTCTGACATTTTTCTCCCTTCTTTTTTTCTTCGCGCCTCTTGCATTCTTTTTTCCTCTTTGTAAGACAATGTGAGGAAAGCAGAGAGAGTGGAAAAAAGTAACAGCGCGCTTCTTTTAGCTTTTTTCATTATACTCAACCACTCCCATGGACTGAAACTTTGAACGGCCATAACTCGGCAAAAACTAATTTTGCAAGAAAACGGATAACGCCACGATACTAAGTCGAGGATCCTCTATCGAATGGTACCGAAAAATATATCAAATTCGCAGTCACAGTAAACGATGGTTCCTTGTAAGTAGAAAAGCAAAAAGAACGAAGTCTGTAACTTACTTCATCATCGAGATCTTGAGCCTGAAAAACCAACTGGAAATGGGGGTACAGTACTTCAAAAAAATTTTAACCCCCTAGAGCTTAAACAAAAAAATTAATTTTGGGCTTATTTGAAAGCCCATAAAATTTGCTACAAAATACAGGCTTAATTTTTCTAAAAATAGTCTATTTGAGGTAGATCCATTTTTACATTTCATGTTATCATTTTTGGGGTATTTTAGGAGATTTTTGACCATTTTTATGTGAAAGTGGATGTAAGTCGAACAACTATTTTTTGGAATGACTGTGACCTGGGCTATTTTGTAGCAAATTTTATGGGCTTTCAAATGAGCTCAAAAGAAATTTTTTCGTATAAGCTCCAGGGGTTAAAATATTTTTTAAAGTACTGTACCCCCATTTCCCGTTGATTTTTGAGACTCGAGATCTCAATGAAGAAAGAAGGCACATACTTCGTTCTTTTTACTTTTCGAATCACTAATGACGGAAATGTCCACAGAAATTTTTTTAGAATTTTCGAACAAATTAAAGTTGGAAAACCCAAAGTGGTTCTAAACATGTTTCCCCCAAAAAATTGGGTTGCCATCATTTAAACCGTTATATGTAATTTCTGAGTGAAATGTTAATTTTAAAAAATGGTGATATCTTTTGATAGCCCTTTAACCTAAACAACATTTACTAAAATTGAACAAAAACATCAACAATAAATATTTTTTAAAACATTTGCTTAAAAATATGAAAACACGCAAGATTCACTAGTATTAAATATGAACATTTCCATTATATGTATATCCCCAAAACGAACATTCAATAAAAGTAAAAAAGCATTCAAACAGAACAAAATTAAAACAATCAAAACATCAAATAAAATAAAAAAAACATTAAAACAAACATTTTGCAAAACATTCCCTTATGAATATAAAACAATCAAAACATTCAACAGAATAAAAAAACATTTCCAAAACATTCAAATAAAAATATAAAAACAAAACTTTCAACAAAATTAAAACAGTTTTTCAACTGTTCAAATGCTAAAAACATTGTTGTTGGAAAGCATTTAGAGAAAAATCATAGATTTATATAAAAACAAGTTTTTTTCGGATTTTTAAAAACTGTTAAGGTTGTGTTCAAAAACAATTATAAACCGGAAATTATTTCCCTATATAAATCAAAATTTTGTTAAAAACATTGTTTGAAATATTTATTTATCAAAACAAGTAACAATTTTAAAGCAAAATGAGAATGTATAAATACACAACAACATTTTTTTTGTCAAATTTTGTTTGATTTTATTTGACATTTTTGTATTCCAAAATTTATGAATTTTTAGGAGGTTAAGTTTTATAAAATCAAAAGTTTATAAAAGAATTGTTTTTAATGTCAAAATGGAATACAAAATGCCAACAAACAACAATTATAAAAAAAGACTTGTATTTCATCAAAATTTAATTTTAATTAACAAATAGATTTTAAGGCATAAGAACTCCCAACCATCCAAAAAGACCATCCAGACTCCCCATCATCCAAAAACTCAGTCTACGTAGTCATTACGGTAGGTATTAATAAAGCAATTAAAAGATCCCAAAAAGCCTAAAAAATAAAATCTGAATTAGGTATTTAACTTTCTATGTTTAAAAACCCTTAGTATAAACAATTGCTGTCATTAATTCTTCTTGATTCAAATTTGGAATTATAGACTCAAGAAGAAATTTGAAAAAGTCCACCATAATTTCCTGCCCAGTTTCAAAGTTCTTTTTAACCTAAAATTTTTCTTTGGAATTATAAAAATTGAGGAATAGCCTGTTCCTCCCAAACGTCCTGACTAATGACCTCATTCGAAACGTCCTCCTCCTTAGCTTTTTGAGGCCAAGTATAATCGGAAATTTTCTTAAATAAAATTTTATTTTTAATTTTAATTAAATATCAATAAACATTATTAATTGCAGCTGATCTTGCAGGAATAACATTTCCAATACAAACAACATTATGAAAAATTCCTTAAAATTTTGTAAATTAAAATTTACACAATTTAAAACAAGCCTTTAATTTGGCTATTCATATCTACAATCACATGGATGGTTACATGCGAGCCTGGGTCATTAATATTGTCCAATTGTAACCCCATAGTGTTATACATTCCAGCAAGCTCAGTGCGAAGCTAAAAATATTTTTATCTTTTTTTGATTCATTTTTAAGGAATTTAAACTCTCCACAAACAAAAAAATTCTCAAATCACACAAAAATTCATAATTGCACACTTACACATGACCTACTTTTTTAAAATAATTTTTCCATTTTTGTTGAAATTTATTAATAAAATAATTAAAAAATTTGGATATGAGGACATCATCCCACTTTAAATCAAAGGGGATAAAGTGGATTAATTCATAAATTAATTCTTTGGGCAAATTTGGGTTCATTCTCATTTATCCAATGAAAAAAATTGTCCAAAATAAAGGGTAAAAACTTCGACGAATTAATAAGGAAAGGATGTACATCACAAGGACGCTAGCCCATTTTTGCTATTCAATAAATTGCTTTTGTAATAATTCAGAAACTAAACTATTAACAAAAATACTAGAAACATTTTCATAAACCTAAACATAACATTCAGTCAAATTGAACAAAAACATCAACAACAAACATTTTTCAAAACATTCTCTTATAAAAATAAAAACAATCAAAACATTCACTAAAATTAAATTCCAACAAAACAAGATTAGAACAATCAAAACATCCTTAAACTAAAAAAACTTTCTAATAAACATTCTTTAGGGGAATGTTCGTTTAAAAATATAAAAACAACCCAAACATTCACTAGAATTACTAAATCCAACAAAACAAATTCAAACATTCACTAAAATTAAATCTCAACAAAACAAGATTAAAACAATCAAAACATCCTTAAACTAAAAAAAACTTTCTAATAAACATTCCCTAGGCGAATGTTCGTTTAAAAAATATAAAAACAATCAAAACATTCACTACAATTAAATTCCAACAAAAATTAAAACATTTAACATCCACCCACAAGTACTCTCAAAACAAAAGTTGATAGAAACATTCAATAAACTTAAAAACATTTAAAAAGACAAATCAAACTAAACATTTCTAGCTAATTTTATTTCTGAACATACATAAGTTTAATTTCTTAAACCCACTTGAGTTAAAAAGGCCATAAGAGGAAGTCAAATAGGTCAATAAATAAAATTTGGCTGAATAATAAAATGCTTTAAAATTTTATTAATAAATTAAGAAATTTTTAAGAAAAATTAATGATAGAGGATATACATAAATTGGAATTTTAAAATATTTTTGAAAGAAATGTTGATGTTGACCCAAGTAAAATTATGCAAGAATGTTGTAAAAAAATTAAAATTGTTTAAAAATAAATAAATAAATTTTTACAATAAATTAGAGAAATAAGTGAATAAATAAAAATACCTTTCATTATATACTTTTTTTCCTGCCCTTATACATAAATAAAAAATATCACTATGGAAGAGAACAAATTTAAACTTTGACCTATCCAGGCATTTGTTGGGGGGTTGAAAACGTTTTGAATTGTTAGTTAGAAATACTGTGGTAGATTAAATGTTTTATGTTTATATGTATTGATATGTTATGATAAAAAACATCAGAAACATTTAATTATAACTGTTAAAACAATCAAAACATTTACTAGAAAACATTCTCACAAACATTCTCACAAACATATTCATAAAATACTCTCAAGAAACAAAACATTCAAATAAAAAATTAAAACAAACAAAACATTTTTAAAAAATATAAAAATCATCAAAACATTTACTAAAATTAAAAAAAAACATTCTAATAAACATCCTCTTAAAACATTAAAGGGGAATGTTTCTCAAAAATATAAAAACATCCAAAACAAAAACATGTGTTTCAAAACATGTTTTTGATTTTCAAAACATTCCCTCATAAATATAAAAACAATCAAAACATTCACTAAAATTAAATTCCAACAAAACAAATTAAGCAACCAAAACATTCAAAAAAATAAGAAAAAACATTCCCTTAAAAATGTAATAAATGTTTTCGGAAGTATTTAGAGAAGAAACATAAATAAATTTATATAAAAACATGTTTGTTTGTATTTTTAAAAACTTAAAGTTGTGTTCAACAACTATTATTAACAACATTATTTCCTGAAAACACATTACAAGAACATATTTTCTACTAATTAAATCTTTAGATTTCAATATTGTTAGGGTTTATGCAAAAATCAAATCATTTCAATTTTTTATCATTATTTTATATAAATTGTTAAATTTTTAAGCGAATTTACTTTTAAAAGAGATTTAAGTGATAAAGGTATTTTTATGGTAACATTAAGTGATTTAATAAAGGGCCTATTTTTGTTCTGAAATTTTAAAAATTTTTCACAACGTAAAATTTTCTTAAATATAATATTTCGGTCCCTTATAGAATTTAAAAATATAATTTAAAAAATTAAAAAATAAAAGAAAATATAAATATCAAAATTTAAATTTAAGATTTTCTATTTTCATTATCTTTATTTTCTGTTTGTAGCCAATAACATCCCCAAATAACAATTAATGCTGATAGTAGAAGGCAAATCTATTTTTATAAAAATAATTTTTTTTGAATTAAATTTTGGCAAAAAATAAAATTTAAATTATTTTTAGTAAATTAATAATTACTGAATTTTTCATTCAAATATTTAAGGGAAAACTAGGTGGGAGTGTACCAGATCCTAAATTCATTTATAAAATTTTGTAGATTTTTTGACTTTTCCATCATGATATAAAAATTATAAAGCTTTCAAAATTTTTCCATAGGACTAGAAGGTATTTGAAGATATACATACTATTTAAATTTATTTTATTTTTGTAAAATTTTTATGTTCGTTTAAGGGACATAGATGTTTTTGCTTCCCCTAAAAGGTAAGTAAATCTACACTATCCTCTTAATTTGATTTTCCCTAATCCTCCACATAAATATAACCCTCAAAATAACAAGTATCTATTTACCATAGACATAGATGCCACAATTGAAAGGAAAACTGAATCTGCCATACAAACAAGGTTATGGTCAATCACCTCCTTCTCTGGCAAATAATCATTAATTCTACTTTTATTGCTAAAATTAAAAAAAATTTTTTTCTTCATTAAAACCCCCACCTATTAATTATCTTTCCTTCTAATGTTTGATTATAAAAACGTTCAACTTCTTCTTCCATTTCCCCATCTGCCAAAACACGAATTATTGCCGAAAGGGTTTCTTCACTGTTTGCATCGTTGGAGGAAGAGCCGATTGTGTTACTATGTCTCTTTTTACGGCCATGGGAGAGGAACAAATCGTTGGTGCCAGAATCGAGACAATTACTCTATTTAAGTAAAATATTTAAATTTAAGCAGTAGATGAACACTGTACTGCTTGAACTTGATGGGAAAATAAAAAATAGAAAACTCGAAGGGAAATTATTTAGTGACTCTATTTTGAATCTAATTTTGGTGGGATCTTCATACAAGCAGTACTTCAAGGAGTACAAACGGTTTATAAACATCGTTTGGATATATACAGCTCGAACTCTACGATAAAATTTTTTTCAAAAAATTTTAAAACTAACAGGAGGACACCCATTCGGTCCAGCACAAAACATAACAGTACACTGAATTTGGACATCATAAGATCCATCCAAACGAAACGCTTTCAGATCTGCCTTTAGTCTGTTTTTCTCAAAATCTTGCTCAACTGGACCGCACAAAGCTGGGTAACGTGGACATCTTTTTGGAATAGATAATGAATAAATGATTTTAATTCAATACCCATTGTCAATAATAGTGAAGGGAACAGCTTCTCCTTCCCCGCCAACTCTTGTTGCTGTACATTCAGCCAACATCTTTAGAAAAAATTTTTTTAGAAATTTTCAAAAATTTTTCAAAAAATTCTCTTTTTCACCATATTATGTGGACCAGCTTGTTCACTACTAACAACCATAAATAATGGATCACCAATTGAAGCTTGTTGTAATGGTTGACCGTCAGCGTCCAAAAATGAAAGTGTTGCCGTTATTGGAGGGGGTGTGCCGGCATCGAGAATTTGTGGTTCTACTTCTCTTTAAATAAATTTTATTTTTCTTTCACTAAAGGATATCTCACTATAAGATCTCTTCTTAAGGACTGGAAAAATCGTAGCTTGATGGTGATTTAAAATTGGGGGTACCGGTTAGGAAGCACCCCCCCCCCTCCCCTAAACAGTGGTAAATTTTAAAGACGTCTCTTATATTCAAGTGTATCCGGCATATAGGCTAGAGCTGTCAAGACTATTGGTATTGAGTCTTGGAAAATTTTTGGTATTGGATAGCTCTTGTATAGGCTATATTACATATAGTGAGATCCGATTTGTCAAATTTCTAGATAAATTTTTTCTTACTTAGTTTCAAATATAGTAGTAACCAAAACAGTCCCTTCAATTCCCTGTTCCCGCTTTTCCAACATTTTCTCCAAATTCATACTGACATCACAAGATACTCGATAGAAACGATCCCATTCTGTGGTGACTTGATGTGGAAGAACTCCGTCTAATGAAACAACAACTAAAGCTTCCAATTTTCCGTCCTGTTTTTGAAAATTAAAATTGGAACATTTCTTTAAGATTTTCTAGTACTTTAATTGTAGTTCCACAATTGGGCGAAATATTTGGAGGGGGGAATGTAATAGATATTTGCTTGGCATTTTCAACTACTTGCGAGCATGTACTGAATTTTTCTGCTGCGTAAATAGCTCCAGTATAAGGCTCCTTTGTATTTACAATAAATCTAATTCCTTCATTTGTGCAAAGTGCCATGCCTCCAAATTGGGATTCTATAAAGAATTAGTTTTATTAAAATTCCAAAGATGGACCTCATTGTAAGAGACACCCAGTATTAGATACTCACACTAGGGGATGGGCTGGGTTGAGAAAAAACTCTGTTAGGATCGAAGGTCTGGGAGAAAAAGACCAGGTTTCGGATTTTGGGTAATACGGCTGATCTCCTGTTGCCACTAGAAGGATACATTCTATTTAGGATACACTCTATCTTCATTATAAGAAACATTTCTAAATCCTCAAGTGAGTATTTTTTAGGGAGGTCCAGCTGTATATTTAAATAATTTACCGCAATTAAATTCATAAAAGTCAACAGAAGGGTTCTTTTTAACATTAGCATTTGCCTGTCCAACAGCGAATATATGGCAAGTACTTTGGGTACGGTCAAAGTTGAGAGATTTACAATTTAAATTTTGGAAACAAAGAGAAACACAATCCGCAATAGTTACCCCTTGAGCTGTTGCTACAGGTTGACCTTCAATAGAGACCCCAATAAAACGATTAAATGCCGCTTGTTGACGGCAGGTTGAAGAACTTAGGTCGGCTAGAAATTTAGACGAAATTCTTGGATAAAGTTTAAAATTTTTTTGTACATATTCGCTATAAGATACCTAACATCTTAGTGACCGAAAAAATCGTATCCTATAATGAAGGTTACCTTAAATAGAGAATTTTCTTATGCTTTTTGACAACTACTCCTAGTGTTAGATCCCCTTCCCAGTCTATTCCAAAATCATAGAGTGAGTAGCACCTAATACAAGGAGCCCAAAATAGAGAGTATCTTATAGTAAGGGCAAAGATGAGGTCTCGTTCAAAAAATTCAAATATTCTTCTTTTAGATAAGGATTCCCAGAGATATCAATCTCATATCTCGACTGATCCTCAATTCTGTTATCTATATTGAGGGTATCTTATAGTATTTCGACTGTATTTTCAAAAATTTTTAAAATTACCAGAAACACAAATAGGTTCATAATAATCTTTATTTTGAACAGCCCCTTGTTGATCAGCTCTCGAAAAAGTATCTTCATCGCTAACTATACAATTTTTCTCGTTTGGAGAAAATTCTACCGAACGGCAAAAAGTATTTAAAGAATCTAGGCATTTTTGTAAACAATTAGATTCTTGTGGTTCTACCTTCAAATTAAAAATATTTTAGAAAAAGTTTATTTTAAAGTTAATTACTGATTGTGTATGATCATAATATTTAATTTCAAATTGTGTTGTTTTAACAAATACCAAATTTCCTCCTTGCTGGCTACAACGATTTTGGCCTTTTTTTAAATTGAAAAAATTAATTTTTTAAAATCGTTTCTCTGTGTTTTATTTAGTATTCAAAACAAAATTAAATTTTAAAATTAGAGAGTGTAGTAATAGAAATTTGAGATAAAATTAAAATAAAATCGGGGGCCGTAGAATAAGTAATTGGTTAGGTAACCACAAGGTCATGGTTAGCCTTATGACCGTCTTATGCTACCGGTAAAAACCTCCGGTTGATGGTACCTAACCAGCAACCGAGCTCTTATTTCACGGCCCCGAATCTTCCGGCTATGACCCTCTTCTACAGAAAAAATTCATTTGATATAAAATTGAAAGTTATGTACAATTGAGATATCGCCTGTTATGTTTTATATGTTCTACCTCTTAGTATAGGTATAAATTCTTCAAAGAAGAGTAATTTTAGAATTATCCAACTAAACCTACGATTTAAACAATTATTATCAAAATAATCGACAGGCTGGTCTACAGTCATTCTCAAATGTGTTGGTTTCGATCGTCTATCTTCAATACTCATTTCACAGGCATAAGTATCATAATTATAATTAACTGATCGACAAATAAATTCTTTTTCTTTTAAACAAGCACTTAAACATTGTTCACGACTTGCAACCTTTTTTAGAAATATTTTTTTAATGAAATTAAAAAGTAAAACTTTTTTAAATTGTTTTAGAATCCCCCCCCCCCCCCCCCTTTGATCAAATATAAGGAAGTATTAATTATTTAATAGATTAATAAGCTGTCTTCTCATTATAGGATATCTCCTATCAGGGTTGAAAAATTTTGTATCTTAAAGAGGTCTTTGACAAAGGTTTTCAACCCCGTTAACATGCAAATAGACCCAACCAAAGACTAATAAACCCTATTCAGGTCATACGACACATGCAGATATGACATTTGCAGACCCGACATTTGCAGACGACTTTTGCAGATAGACATTTGCAGATACCGACACTTGCAGATATGACAATTGCAGATCAGACATTTGCAGATCCGACTTTTGCAGATATTAATTTTTGAAAAAAATTTTAAAAAAATTTAAAAATCTTAAAAAATCAAAGGATATAGTATAGTATACCGGTGGAAAGGTTTTGATATAAGACCCATACCAATTCGTCTCGACGAGCTGAGTCGAACGGCACCACTCTTTTTTCCGGAGATTCTCTTTTTTCCGGAGGTTAAAAATGTTCAACGTAGGTAAGGTAAAGAAGAGAGCGAAATGGGTCTAATCTGCAAAAGTCGGATCTGCAAATGTCTGATCTGCAAGTGTCGTGACACGCCCTATTCATATTAAATTGAGGTGTATGTATCAGTCCCCGCGGGAATCAAAAATTACATATGTTCGATTGTATTAATTTCGTTATCGAATTTAGAGACATTTCTAAATCACAAACTCAATAAGTACTGAATCAAATATATGCCAAGCTAATCAAATATCCACAATCTCCACAATTCCTATCCCTCCTTAAATAATTTAAAGAAATTTATTTACTTGAATACTTTTCTTTACAAAACCCTCAAGTGAAGTTTTTCTTATTCTTTCAAAAGAAAACGATCTATAAGTACATGCTTCATGAGCATTTACTGCAGGCAAACAAGTCTTTTCGTAATAAAAATTATTAGCTGATGGGTTTGGGTTTAATTCTGCTTGGCCTGCTGATGGACTTTAATTAAAAAAATTAATTTTAAAATAAATCTGAGAGAATTTTTATTGGAAAACTTTAGAGATTCTCAGTTTTCAGCAATTCTTTAGCAGATCCCAAAATTGGTGGATTTCGATTTTCTCACCGTTTTTAGGTGAAAAAAGCTTAGCTTTTCACCTTTTATTTTATTATCCTATCCGGATATTTTCAACCAGACTTATTTAACTAAAAATTTCTATAAAGTCCACAACTTCTTGGAAAACCCTCAGATACTCGGAAGCGACCGAAGAATCAAACCAAAAAAAATTCTCGGTTATTCGGTTCAGTTCCAAGCCTCATCATTTATTTACAAATTTCTTTAAGCCCACAACTAGGGGTTGTCGCTTCTTGGAAAACCCTCTGATTTTCGTAACCGAACCGAAGAACCCAACCAAAAAATTCTCGGTTCTACGGTTCGGTTCCAAACCCTCGACAACCCTTTCCCCTCAACCCTTTCCAAATCTCTCCAAATTATTTCCAATTTTTAATTTCTTACGCAGCAGCATCATCAAAAAAATAGCAAGTTTCCCTTCCATCAAAATTAAAAGAAGCACATAATCTTTGAGCGCCAGTTGTCGGTTCTATATTATTTCGGCAATATTGAGAACAAGTTAAATCGTGCCCTGCAGTAGAAACAACTAAAGGTGTTCCGTCTAAACGAGCACGAGAAATTCTGACAAAAGTTGCTGTTTCGGATGGGGCACATTCAAAAATTGAATAAACACAATTATTTAAATAAATTAAATAAATTATAGAAGAAAATATTAAAAATTTATTTAAATAAATATTTTGTAATAATAGCATTTTTTAATTAAATATAGGTATGTTGTTTGGCTTCCCAAAATTTTTTCTTAAAATTAAAAAAAATATATAAAAGAAAGTATAGAGTATCAAGTAGAGCTTCCGGTAAGCCGGAAGTTCCGGAATTTTTTGGTTCCGGTTCCGGCCAAATTTGCGGTTCCGGTAAAGCACTAGTATCTTATCTCTGGAGGTTAGCTTCGGAATCAGCCCCAGAGCTAAGATGCTTAAAAAGTAGGAGCCGAAGCTCAACCTTTTTTTTTAACTCAGGGCTTCGGAGCTATATACTCAATGAAGGTGGAACAAAAAATTTTGCTTTCATCCGGAGCCTGAGACTTTAATACGTCGGAGCCGGGTTTGCACGGGGCCGGAGTACTTTTATTAAAAACAAACAGATTAAAAAAAGACAAATGGCGAAATTATTTCTAAAATCGAAAAGCAAAAAAAAAACGAAAATTTACAAAAAGAAAATTGTTTGATCTAGGTATAATATTTTCAAAAAATCAGTCCTAACAGACAGATTAAGTAAGAATTATATAAATCCAGTAACAGGTTTAACTTGTTTTGTTTATCCTACTACTAGACAGTCTCAAAACCTCTAATATATATTGTTTTAAATAAATAATCTCATTTAAAATAATAATTAATTTTATAAGAAAATTTAAAGAGAAAAAGACAAGAAAAATGGATTACCGCTGATGAACACAAAAATTTGGGTCAGATGCCGCTACTTGCCGTTTTGGAAAGGAATGAAGGGTTGGATAGTTTTGTTGTAGTGATGGTTTGTAGGGGGGATTTTATTACATAAAAAAAGTAAAGGGAAGAGAGAGGAAAGATGGATTGATGGGGGTGATTTCCGGGGATATTTACCTAAAAATATTTATTTGGAGTTTGGAATTGAGAAAAGAATTGAGAAAAAGATGAAGTTAAAAATTAATTTTTTTTCTCGTTAAAAACGTGATTATTTAATAAATTATAAAATAATTAAAAGAAATTTTAGTTAGAACATAAAGTGGATTTATTCTGAAATTCCGAAAATTTTCGTTCTGCTATTAAAAATCCGGATACTTGAGGACAGAAAGGACTACAGGGGATGTTCTGAACTTCTATAATTCAATATTAAATCTTATATAGGTGTCTTTAAATGCTTTATTAATCCTTCCTCCTTACAATATAGTAGTAGTGATGTTCGGGTATCCCGATCCGAAATTTTCCGAGCTTTTGGCCTACCGAGGTCAATTCCTGACCCGACTCCCGTTTCCCGCGTTTTTTCTTCTCCCGAACATCACTACATAAAATATAGACAACAAATAAAAAGAAAAATTTTTAAATTTTAATTATCACAGGAAAATCTGGGAAGTCTCAATTAATCGAGAGAATAATGTCAAAAAAATAAATAATTATTAAATTAAATCCTAATTAAGAAATATATTTTTAATTAATGTAAAGCCTTTAAAAATAAAAGGAAACTAAAATTCCTTTTCCTTCAAATAAATATTGAATTGTAATTTTTGTTCAGAAATTTTTCTAATTGAATGGAAAGAAAAAATGAATGGATTTTGTAAAAAACTAAAAGAAAAAGTCACTTCTTCCTTTTTCCAAAAATGCCTTTTCCTTCTTAGTAGACCGTGACACTTTTACAGTTTTTTTGCGCATTGAGGGAGAGAGATTTATTTGATTTGAGATTTATAAAGAAACGAAAAAATATATTGATGTAGAAGGATATTAAAAATAGTAAATATTTAATATAAAAATAATAAATTCTAGTTGAAATTAAATTTTAATTTCCGATTACCTTCATTTTCCTTTTTCTTTTTGTGTATTTTGCTTTGTAATTTAGTTTATATTTTTTAAATTAAATATTTAAATTGAAAAAAATTAATTAAAATATAGGTATATTTTTCTTTTATTTTTCATAAATATACAAGAGTTCGATCTGAAAGGTCGCGGCGATCGGAACTATCGGAAATTTAAAATGGCCGCAAAAGACGGAATCGGAAATCCTCGTAAATCTTCGTAAATAGGAATTCCAACCGATTTCTGATGTGTCTTTTTTACTAGATTAATTTTAATTTTATCTTTTTTCTATTAATTAAAATAACAAATCCAAAATGAAACATTTTCTTTTATTTTCTATAAAAATAAACCTTTTTTAAGAAATATTTAATTAATTTTTAATAAATTTAAAAAGACATTTACGAACATTAAACCGATGAAAATAATAGGTATATTTTTGTTTATGATGGCCTTGACACCAAGAAAATGATTTGATCATTCATGTCTATATTTATAAGGAAAGGAATGTACTATTTTATTTAAGAATAGATAAGGGATATATTTAAAATAATGATTTATCTAAATAATATTTGTAATTTATTTGGATTTCTATATAAATAAAATATTTTTAATAATATAACCCCCCGCTATATACAGGGTGCAGAAAATTATGGGCACTTTTTTGTCATAACTTTCTTCGAAATTGATGAAAATCGGTATTTTTTGAAATCTTATTCAAAACACTTTAACAAACTTTTTGATAAAAATACTGAAAATTTGGTCCACTGATAGCAAAGAAAAACGAGCCCGAGCATCTAGAAAATTTAAAGGCATTTATTATGCCAAAATTTAATTACATATAACTTCGTTTTAATAATGCAACACAAATGATTTTGGTACTAAGCGACTCATCTGATGAAGGAGCATCTAAGTAGCTTATAATCTCATTTTTGAAAATATAACACAAAAAACTTATAGTTGCCAAAATTATTTTACAACAAATGCTGAAATAATGTCCCTCTCTCAAATAATTACCGTCACCCTATTAATTACCCCCTACAGCCAGAGATCGAAAAAATAATTGCCCCTCCTAAAAATAGTTATCCGCATTCTGTATTTAAAAGTAATTTAAAAAAATTTTTTGAAATTTTTTTATTGATTAGAATTTTATTTTAAAAATTCTTCAATTATTTACGATTATGTACGATTATATACGATTTTTTAGTTGGACATTTATTAAAAAAAATAATTTTAATTGACGCTTTTCTAATTTTATTTAATTCCAAAAATAATAAAATTGAATTAGCTAGCTCAAAACGGCGCAAAACCTCTAAAAGGGAGAGGAAGAGTAAAGTCGGGAATACGGGAAAATGAAAAACTTCTTAACCAAAATTAAATATTTTCGAAGATATTACACATAAATAACCTTCTAAAATTAAAGGGTTTTTTAGTTAATTAAATCAAACACAAAAAAGTGTGGGGGGGAGGGGGGAGACTTGATAAGAATTTTCAAACAATAAATCTCCGGGCATGTCTCCGGGGCAACTGTCTCCGGGATAAAGTCACCAACTGCCTCCGGGCATCAAATCGAGCCAAACAAAAATAAAATAATAATAATTAAAGTATATGTAATTTTATTGATAAAACCGTGCCTAATTACGGCTGCGTCCAGAAAAGTCAATAAAAATTATTAAAAAAATATTTCTGGAAAATAAAATTAATTCCGCTTCCGCCTTAAAGATAAAATTGTTTAACGGGTTTTAAAATTCAATAATAAAAATTTAGATTGAATTAGAAATTTTACCAAAAATCGTGCTTATTTTTACAATTGCGTCCAAAAGGACCTAGTCAATAGAAAATAATAAAAAAATTTTTTTTTATTATTTTGCAAAAATAGATTTACGTACATAATGTTTACACAAATTTTATTTTATTTTTTACCTTTCAAAATCATTTAAATAAATAATAATTTCTCTCGAAAAATATTAACCCTTCTCTCTAAACCCAAAAACACAAAATAAATAAAAATAAATAAATTTTGTTTCAAAAATTAAAATGAATTTTAATTTAATTAAAATTATTATTTCTTTATTTTTAATTATTTTATTTTTGTTTGGTTATATTGAATGTCAAAATGGAGAACCAGGAATACCAGGACCACCAGGATCAGGACAACCGAATCCTCCTCACTGTAGAGATCCAAATGGTTGTAAGTAATAATTATGACGAAAAAAGAATTTAAAAAACTGGGAAGAAATTTTTAAAAAACTTTTTGGGTACCCTTTCGGTGGTAAGACATATGAGGACGGACATATGGGGACGGACATATGAGGACGGACATATGGGGACGGACATATGGGGACGGACATATGGGGACGGACATATGGGGACGGACATATGAGGACGGACATTTGAGGACGGATATATGGAAAAAATAAAAAATAACTACAAAATTAGCCAATTTGTCCGTTATTTCAATATTTGGCACTTTTTGCAAATTATTTCAATATTGTTGCAAATTTTTGCCAAAATTTTGTGAATTTTCATAAATTTTCAAATTTTAACCAATTTTTATAATTCAATAAATTAAAAAATTACATTAAAAAATACAATAAAATTAAAAAATTACATTTTTTCATCAATTTCGATGAAGGTTATGACAAAAAGAAAAAGTGCCCGTAATTTACCGTCCCGGTACTAGGGTTGCCGTTTTCGATTCGAGCCGATGCTCGGTGCATTTTTTTCGAGCTTGGTTTTTCCGATTCGGTTCGTTTTCGAGCTTTTCGAGCTAAAAGCCTCGGCTCGTTCGATCTTTCGAGTTTCGGTCGAGCGAACTGGCAACCCTACCCGGTACTAATTTTTAGAAATTCGGTTTTAAAACTGCGACATCCTGAGAAGTGCATTGTTTTTCTTTTGACATACAGCTTATTATAACAATTTTTGAGACAAATATATTTTCTTATATACAAAAATTAATAGAAAATCTTTAAAAATTTTTTTGCCCAAACCCTTATCCAAACCATATTTTGCTCCTCAGACCCGGAACAATTCCAAAACTCCATAGCCCAACAGACCCACCCCCGAGCATTCAAATGAAATCATAATACACACGAATATTAAAAAATATATTTCTTAAAAATTACATAAGAAAGGATATGTATTTTATATTTATTTTGAAATTTAAATGTCTAATGCTATTTATTAATAAAAATATTAATTTTTAAAGCATG